GGAGAGAAGTTCTCTTCACACCCAGTCATCTTGATCAAAAAAGTACCACTGAATCAGCTGTTGGGGTGGGGGGATAGCAGACGATCAAAAAAAATGTTGAAACTCTTAAAATAGCTGTTGCTAATCAGCTTTAACCCAGAGTGACCGTAAACAAAGTGCTAACTGGGTCTTATGACTTTAACACAACAACCAGTGTGGCCTGAGGCCTTTGAAGGGAATGAACCTTCAGAAGATACAGGAAGTGAAAGGCTGAATTTAAAAATGTCCTACTTGGAAGACAAATATATGCCAACTCTACTTTGCACAATAACTCAAGCTCAGTCAGATTGCATCTCTGAACATCTGCCATTGATTCTTCGTTGGATTCACATCCAAGCTTTGACCGGTCCATTTAAAAAAAAAAATGTTTTGATCTAAACTGTAGGGTGTGTTTGTGTTGCCAACAGTTTTTCCTCCATCAACTCTGATCAGCTTCCTGCTCCGAGCAGAAGAAAGGCATTTCCATAGCATTATTCTGCCACCACCATGCTTCAAGGAGGGATAGTGTGCTCAGGGTGATGTACAAATAAAATGGGAACCGGGTTTCAAGACTGGACCACACCAACAGAAGTGGAAAAACTAGATTTAAAAAAAAAAAAAAAGGTCCTCCCGATAAACCCATATTATATCCTCAGATTAAGTTTCTGCTTTGACTAGTTTTAAACCAAAGTGTCATTATTTCCAAGAAAGTGTTGTATGTTTGGTCCATCATTGCACCACTCCATTTCCTGCAATGCAAAAAAGCGTTTGCACAAGATATCAGCAATGCTGATGCCAGGAACAGCCACAAACTTACCCATCATGCAAGTTAGAACGGACGCATTTCCAAACTCCCCAAATTAAAATAAAAATGGGTAAATGAACATTTTTTTCTGTATATGCATATATATATATATATATATATATATATAAATATATATAGCAGTGTGCAAGGATGCAGCAGCTCCTCCAGGGATCAATAAGCGGAATTATTTAGACTTTTCGGGTCATCTAAAAAGTCGTTTATGCAGACATGGCCGTCAGGATAGTGAGGGGAGCCAAAAACCTTCCACCTCAACCCCAGCTACACAGCTTTCTGGTTTCAACAGTTAAAATGATGAATGACTGGAAATATGTTAATATGTTTTATCGACTTGTGCGTTCACGGTTATTAACTCACCAGTATCGTATTTGTGCCTTTTTCTGTGGTACATTTATAGAAAACTGAAGCTCCACCCCAGTTGTACTTATATTATTGAGTCATTTGACTCATTCCAAGCATGTGATTTCACAGGTTTCCCAGGCGGCCAGATAGGACTTTTATCGATTAAATTTCCTATAAATGCTGAACGTTTACCTGGTCACGCTGATGTGAACCATCAAAGGCAGCATTTATCCTTCATCCCACAGCAAAGAATCTAAATTAAAACCTGTTCAGTTTGTTCCAGAAAACATGAACAACGATCCATGTGACCCGGGTCCTGTAGCCACCTTTGGCCCCATCACATGTCTGAAGCATGAACTCAGCTGACTGACCGGCCGTTGACTCACCACAGAGAAACCAATGAGAAACTCCCAAAACTGAAAGTCACTCGCTCATCTTATCAATACTGACAGCTTCCTGATACGTGTTGCAGCAATAAAAATAAACACAGAACTCAGAGTGAGCACGACACTCCAGATTTTCCTGTATGAAGGGTAACTTTGCCTGGTTACAAGTTTCAGACATTGCGCCATTTGTGCGTCCTCACCTGCAAGCCGGGCAGCCCCCCACCACCACTACAGAAGGTTGGATGATGGCGTAAGTCGATGTGTAGGGCTGCTGGGAAACGGCGGGGCCCATCTGAGCCGCCGGGTATCCTGGAAGATCCCCAGAAATGTGGCATGTTATAATTCTGCCCTTTCATTTTTATGCCAACATGGATTAAAATAGGATAAAATTAGAGAACTTTTGGCAATAAACAGATTGAAGTATATATCTACACAGCACAAATAACTTGATATTTAATTATGATACCATAATTAGCAGACTATGATTTTTTTTTTATTATTATTCTAAGAACTATAATACCTAAAAGTTATTTGATAGAGGTGGTAGTATTGATTCCAACAAAATGATCAAATTATATGAAAGCCCCATTTTTGCAGCACAGCATATCTCTTTCATCTTAATCTGATTCTTATTAAATCATTAATAAGTGCTACAATCGGCTGATGCGCTCATGGACTAAAAATTGTAGCAGTTCTTTGTTTTTATACCTTTGGCAAATTTAAAGTCCTTAAAATAATATTTGAATTTGACCAACATGTTTCTCCTTACTGGAAGTAATATTTGAAGTGGCTCAGCAAACCATTTCTACTGAATCCTATAAAGAACCTGTGATGGGAGCCAATGATTAGGGTGATTGTAGGAAGGCCTTCCGACCTTAAATACTTGGGAGCTCATCGCAAAAAGATTAACCATTAAAGGTATCACTGGAAACATGCAAAAAAACTGGTCAGCAATTATAAGAGAGAATTTCTGTCATGCTAATGAAGACTTTTCCACTGATTATCGAGAAGGGTATAAATGATTTTTGATATCCCAGTTTTTTTTAAATAAAAATAAATGTAGTTTTTTTTATTGATTTTTTGAGAAATTGTTGTCTAATTTCTTAACAAAAAGAAAGTTTTGTTTTAATGAAAATAATATGAAATCTAAATCTGCCAGGGATATGAATAATTTTGCTTGTAACTGTTTATTCTGCATGAAGAGTCGAGAACTATTGGGCCCTTGCTGGTCTGGGGCCACTGAGCAGTGGCTTAATTTGCTTCTGCTTTGGGCCGGCTCTGCCTAAGGTATAGCCAGCTCAAATTCACATAGTGTTAAATATGTGAAGATCACAAATGCCTTCTTTATACAAAAAAATCGAAGTGTTTAGAATCTCCAATAATCTCATGTCAAACCTTGGGCATACATTAATCGTTTGGCCAGAAATTGCAACCAGAAAAACTTCCCTTGATCATTTCTGATCAGGTCAAATACTAACATTTTGGATTCTTTGTTTTTCTTTGCTGTTCATGAAATGCTTTAAACACCATTTCCAATCTATAAACGCATCAACCGTTGCTGGGCTGCATCTAAATGCATAACTTGAGATAACCTCGTTTTATGTTGGATTCACATGAACCATCTACCTGTATATCAATGAACCTGAACCACATTTTCTCTTTTGCGTCAAAAAGGGACCTGCTAATCAAGTTACTATAAACAAAACATGGCAAACCCTGGAGTGTGTCAGCTGGACATCTAAATAATTATCAGGCTCATTTCAACGTCATGTCCACTGTTTTTGGCCATTTGTACACATCTGCAGTTCAGATTGTGTAACATTGGGAACTTTGACACTTTAATCAGACTTCCAGCTGCACACACACCTGCTCTGTTTCATGCCAAGTTGGCGCAGACTGGTTTAATCCGCTAAAAAGGAAGCGGCTCAGCAAAAAAAAAAAACAGGAAATGTCATGCGAATAAAAGTAACGGGAGTTGGGTTTTGTTTATTTGTAATGACTGACTTCCTGTATAAAAGCAGCACTTATACAATCACGGTCAGGTGATGGCTTCCTGTCTCACATTAAACTGACACATTTAGAAAACAACAACTGCACCACAAATATACATGTTTTTTTTTTTTTAAAGGCAAGTAATGATTAATAACTGTATAATTTAGGAGTACAGCTGTTTTTGTTATATAGTTGACCTATATTTCAATTTGTTCTATAAGAATTAGCATAACAATCATTTCTGTTGACATACTGCGCATGCGAAACTTTCCTGGTAACAAAATAATCTTTTAAGGGCTGGATTTAAACCCTGAGTGAGGGTTAAATAAGGGGGTTAAACCCTAACGTTTCCCTGTGAAAGCAGCTGGGAGTCGGAGCCCTCGTCCCGCCTGGTGATTTAACTTTCCGGTCAATGTGTGAAACAAACGGCGCTACTTGCCTGGGCCATCCGGGTAGTGGTATGGCGGCGGGGCCGCAGCGGGGATGGCCCCGTACCCGTGCTGCTGCTGCTGCTGCGACGGGCCGTACTCATGAGCCCCGGGAACGGCGTTGTAGGCGGGGGGTCTGTCTTGAAGGAGAGGCTTGCTGTCCACCATCTCACCGAAGAAGCGTGTCCTTAACTCGTCTTTTATCTTGTCCCTCAAGTGAACAAAATAGGAATAAAAAAAATAATCGTTTCGACTACTTGGTTTCTGTCAACCGAAATGCTGCGCGACGCTGGCTGAGGCTTTGTAGCGGGAAAAACAGAGAAGATACGCAGCGCAAAAATGAAACTTCGTCCCTCTCCATGCGCCAACTTTGTTCCAAGCGACGCAACAACCCCAAACCTTCACTGAATGTCCTCCGTTACGGCAGGAATGATCAGAGTTGTTATGGTATCGGCTAACTTAATTCCATTTCCCTGTTTGAAGTTGGTCCTTCTGTGTCCAAACAGTAGCCATGCACCATCGTAGCACCTAAAAACTCAGCTGGAAGTCAGAAAGGTTTTTCTTTCTGTCTGGATTGTCACAAGAGAAGAATCATGTGACGGGCTGCTGTTGCGCCTCTGCGCATTGAAAGGCTTCTTAAAGGGACAGCACACAAAAACAAAGCGCTGTAGTCACATCTTACGGTAAGCCAGTTATGTATATATTCATATTCGTTGCGGCTTCAAAATACTAATCCGTGAACTTGCGCTTTGGAGCAGTATTTCAGGTTTGCAGGAAGTGAAAACACACGCAGCAGAAAGCAGTGACTGATCAGTCACATTATTGGTTTCTGCTTAACAAAATGAGATCTCATCACAATGTCATCCAGCATTTCAGCTGCTTCATTTTAAACTATACAGACTGAAAACTGCACTTCCTAGCAATTAGCATGCATGGATAAAACTCTTTTCTATAGGTAGAGACAATAGGAAACACTCTGTTCTACTGATATCTTTAAATTAATATTTAAATCTGCAGGTGGCGCAGTTGGTAGCACTGTAGCCTTGTAGCAAGAAGGTCCTGGGTTCGATTCCTGGCCTGGGGTCTTTCTGCATGGAGTTTGCATGTTCCCCCTGTGCATGCGTGGGTTCTCACCGGGTACTCTGGCTTCCTCCCACAGTCCAAAGACATGCCTGTTAGGTTAATTGGTCACTCTAAATTGCCCTTAGGTGTATGAATGAGTGTTTGTGTGTTGCCC